GTAGATACCAGAATACATAGGTACCATCTTTGAACAATCTATTCTCAGAATTTGCCTAGTATATGCACTTAGTGATTTGACTTGGTGAGTAAGACAAGAGCAGGTACTTGAAAATGCCTAATTCTACTTCTCCATGAGGAAGAGTGCATATTTTGGAAGATATAAAGGAGAAATAAAATTAGTGCAATGGCAACTAATGTATTCATTTATTGTCATTCTTATCTTCCTATTAAACTGAATAGTGTTTTTCTTTTTCAGTCCTATGACAATGGGCTGGCACAGGGAGCTGGACTTGAATCTCATGGTAAGACATCTTAAAATAAATGAACATGTGGTTTCTTTTGTTCCTTTAAACAGCATCTTGGTATTTTCAGTATGGAGAACCTCAGAAGTTTTTTTCAACTGTTGGTGCAGCTTGATTATTTTATTACTCTCCTGATTCTCTCTTTTGACAGAATTTTGTCTATGTGAATCCTCTTGGGTCAGTAATCATTCAGAAATCATTTAGGACAGAATGTTCATACAATATTTTCTAGTAATGTGTTCAAGTGTTAGCTGCGTGAAAATATCTTGGGATTATTTCTTAAGCCATTATTAGAAGACAACAGGTTTTCTTCTTTGGCATAACACTAAAAGGCTAGACCAAATAGATGCCGAATATTAAATATGAATCAATAAATTCATGAAGAAATGAAAAATTTTTATTTACCTTGCTAGTATAATTATCTTTAGTCATAGTCTTAAAACATAAAACATTAGCATATGCACAGTACAAACATTAATACAGTCTCTTTTTTCATGTTTTTTCTTACTTTGGGCAGAACCAGAAGAGTAAGATGATAGTCACTAAGTTTGTCAACACATCACCAGTCTGAACTCTCTCAAATTGAAATTTCCAATCAGAAGTAAATAAGCTTCCATTCTCCTTTTCTAAAAAGAAAGAGCCCAGATCATGGATGCTCTCTGAGTGAACTTCAATTTCTTCTTCATCACAGCAGTTTTTTGTGTGATCATCTGTTGTCTCCACCCTCTGCTAGTATAATAAAGTAGAAAGAACAGATAAGTGTTCAGATTTCAGCCTTGATACCATCTGTGTTACCTTGCTTAATCTCTCTGAGGTTTTCCTCATCAATAGAGCAGAAATAATTACATCTTTCTTTAGGATTGTTGCTAGGATTCGAAGAGATATGGGGGGAAGTAGTTTGTAAACTATAAAACATGTATAAAAAGATATTTTGAACATGTATTCCTTGACCCCATATCCTTGTATTTCCCCTAGGACTTTATCCTATCAGGTATTTCCTCCCCTTTTGCATATTCACTCCCTCGTTCAATTTAGATTATTTGTAGAGTGTGTGTCTCTAACAGGTATATAGAAGACTGTCTTGGATTTTCCACTGAAGCCATACTATAATTACATTACCATAATTCTTGTGTGTGCCTGAGTCCATATGAAATTGGGGGTGGGAGGAGCTGGCGATAGCAGTTGTGTTAATGGTCATGACCACATGATCAGGAAGGATATAGTTGTTGTACAAAGAGGAAATCTGGCGGCTTTAAGAATTTCTGAGAAGACAGGATCCTGGTGCTCACTATTGTAGATGGTATTAATGTACACTCTGGCTGAGGAGACACCTCACTTCACCTGCACAGGAGACCTGTGGGACAGGAAATTGGGATTATATTCTCTGGATTATGAAAGAGAGAGGGACTACCCAAATATGTTACTAAGGAAAAAATCTTCCTGAGTCATGCAGCTCATGATTTTGAGTTGGTCTGACTTGAGTAGATTGTACCCATCAGGATCATAAGTGATGAACTGCAGTTCATGCCCAAAAGCCTGTATCTTTCTTTTATTTGTAAATTTTGTATGGTAGGTTTTGAGGCCCAAAGCCCTAGAGGAGGGGTTTTTAAGATTGCGGCAGTATTGGTATGCTTCAAATAGGTTATAGGTATGCCAAAGTATTGCTCCCTCAGCCTTTGGAACAACCAAGCAGGACTTGGGTATCTGGAGCCCCTGGTAAGGTTGCCTGCAGACAGAAGCACCTTCTCAATATACCACAATATGCCCTACAAATATCAAATATTGTAAGTTTGTGCGCTATTAGGTTAGATAGGCTGGGAAGTATTATACTACCCTAGAGGACTTCAGAATAGCTTTTCTTCTCTCTCTCATCACTATCTACACTAGCAAGTGAAACCTCTTCTTAAAAAGTAGTCCTGCAATTTGGCTACTCTGTCAAGTCATTGTGTTCTCTTTTTCTTCTTTTTATTAATCTTTTTGGAAACATGGTCCAAATATACTGTTCACCTTTCTTCACAAATAGCTTGTTCTTCAATTTTCTATGTAAGCCTTCAGCAACTTACGAAGTTTCTCTTTTAAAGTCATGAATGATCTGCATTTCAAATACAATGTCTCTTCGTTTTTCTTTTTTTTTTTTTTTGGTAGAGATGGGTTTTCGAACTAGTTTTTTAAGAGTTTTGTGTGAAACAAGGAACTCAGAGCAATAGGTTATTGGCAAATGAATTTTAAAGCATAGACTTTGTAATAAATGTTTTTAGTTACTCAGAGCTCAGACTTACTTCTGTAGTTATTTTCAAAATTAGATGATTTGGACAAAGTAAAGAATGTTTTTACTTTGAATTGTGCCAGTTTGCTTTAAAGAATCCTAACAAGTAGTTTGAAGAGTAGTACTTAAATATCTCTTTTCACTTTTCGGTAGTTTTAAAGATTATGTGCTGCCTATTAGAGGCTTTATATTTAATGATACAATAATACTTGAAGTCATGGCCAGGTTTTCATGAAAGAGAAACTGAAACTAGTGAGTCGTTGAAATGGAAATCAGCTTGATAGTAGGTTTTTTTTTTGTTTTTTTTTTTTTACTTTTCTGTTTTAATTCACTTAAGCCTAATATAGAACTGCCAACTAATTGGGAAAAATTATGAAGATTAATAGCTCTTGTTGACAGTAACACTTTTAATGTGATAGCTGCCTTGAGTTTTCTAGAGGGAATGCTCACCTTTCCTTTGCCAAAGAGTACATTCAAGATTTATAGCACCAAACAAAAAGTTAGGGCATAAGATAATATTAGGAACAAGCCATTTAAACTGCTGAAATTAATAAAAATCATTAAGTGAAGTTATAATTGGAAATACAAGTGTTTTCAAATTGTTTAGAGTTGACAACAAATAGTGTCAGTGGAAAGTGTTTCTTATATGGAAAAATATTGACTTTTTAGTTTACTGATTAAAGTAATTACCTTTGTGAGTGTTTCAGTTTCCTATTGTTGCTGTAATGTTTTACCACAAATTTATGGGTGTAAAACAACACATTTATTCTCTTTACAGTCTGGAGACCAGAACTGTGAGTAAGTCTGAAGTGAGACTTACAGGGCTAAGATCAAGGTTTCAGCAGGACTGGTTCCTTGCCAACAGAGGCTCAAGGGAGAAATAGTTCCTTGCTTCTTCCAGCTTCTACTGACTACTGGCATTCCTTGCCTTTGGCCACAGCACTCCCAGTCTCTGCCTCCATAGTTATATTGCCTCCTCCTCTCTTATCTCCTTCTGCCTTCTTATAATGACACTTGTGAGTACGCTTAGGGCCCACAAGATCATTTAACTTAATCGCATTTATAGAGCTACTTTCTCAATTTAAAGTAACATTTACAGGTTCCAGGAATTAGGATTTGGAGATTTGGGGAAGGCATTATTCAGCCTACCACAGTGAGTATGGATACATTTTAAAGTCATATTGTACATCTACTTTCATATTTGGTTTCCCTCTTCCTCTCTCTGTTCCCCATACCCTTATACTTCTATTCCTTAAAATTCTTAAGCTGGCTAGATACCATATCTGCATATCAGCTTCTTACTTGTTTATGTTATATATGAAAAAATTTGTTCGTAGCTTCAGGCAGATGGGACTTCAATTTATAAGCAACATGCTGTCTTTAAGGGACTTAAAACCAGACTCAGATGATTGAGTCCTGGACAGAGAGTTAGTAGTCCTATATTTTAGTTCCAAATCTACCATTAACCATGTAATTTTGAACAAATTCCTTAATCTTGTTCCACGTCTTACTTTGTTTTTCAAAGTAAAATATTTCTTATGGATTTAAATTATTTTAAATTCTGTTTTATCAAATTAATATTGAAGACTTGTGCTTAGTGGTTATTTTTAAATTACAGTTGTCTTTTAAATTTAAACTTTATTTCATTATTTTCTAGAATTATTTAACCACTTTTTCCTCAACCATTTTGTACTGTTTTCATTGGCATCGAATTTGAAGTTTAAAGCATTATGTGGTTTTGATTAACAGGAGGATCTACTTTTTGTGGCATTGCATCACTGTGTCTGATGGGTAAACTAGAAGAAGTTTTTTCCGAAAAAGAATTGAACAGGATAAAGAGGTGGTGTATAATGAGGCAACAAAATGGTTATCATGGAAGACCTAATAAGCCTGTAGACACCTGTTATTCTTTTTGGGTGGGAGCAACTCTAAAGGTAAGAGAAATATTAAAAATGAGAAACCTGTATTCTGTGTTAATATAAATTGTACTAAAAAGTTTTAGTCTTCATAATATACATTAAATATTGTTAGGTTGAGGCTACAAAGTTTTTTCCATTGCTCTGCCAAAGCAAGTCTGTATGATTTTTCCATAGAATTAAATTATCTCTTGTGCTATTTGAAAGTTTCCATTCTTAGAAAACTCAAGTGACCCAGAACTTGAGTTTTATACCTACATATAACTTATGCAGAACTTGTTATATATCTACTTTATAATATCTACTTTCTTGTAGGTATATGGTCATAAAAAACTTGATACTGACCAGTAGTTCGTGTAGAGCAGGGATCTGTATGATAGTGATAC